TTATGAGCCTACTCAGTCATCAGTTCTGAGGCAATATAAATGCATTAGGCAAAGATTTAAAACTCTGTGTGAGCACTGCAAAGAGTTGCTTGTGGAACCACGATGGCAAAACAGAACCATGCTCCAGCAGTATGTTTCTGTACTGATTTTGAAGCCTGCTTGTATGATAAATACTTTGTACATTTTTGAACCTGACTTACTGTCGAGCTAAAGCACTTTGCTCCCTGTGACTGATGAGAACTTCCCAGCGTGTGATGAGGTGCCCAGAAGTGCTGGGAGAGAACAGGTAGAGAAAATCTGACAGACCAAAGGGCCTGTTACCTACGATGGCCACAAAAACAGACCGCAATTTTGGTTATTTTACAATAGACAAATACCCTCAACAGATTCAGATCAACTCATGTGACTCTAAGATAACCCTGTGACTCTGTATAAATGTATGCACCGATTTTTGATAACACTAGCTACAGAATAAACTGAAAGACACACAGCGCTTTTTCAGGCAGTGGTGAATGTGCATTGCAATGTCATCTATATAATCTAAACAAAATACCTATCTAATGTTAATTGAACAGAAGTTTAGCAATTTAATTTAGTGTAGTTCATATTGTTCCAGATTATTTTTGGCTGGTGCTAGGCAATATCCAGATGTCATTGGAAAAGCTAAAAGAAAGATCCCATTTAAAATGTGATCTTCTAATCAGCATGCAGTTTTTCTTGCAATTATTAAGTGAGCAACAGAACATAGAAGTGAGCAATACAAAGAGATTTATGAATTCAAGCTGTTCCGGGTTTCTGATGGTCTCACTGATATTGCCTTGAATTAATTTATTGTCATTTTATACAGAGATACCTTTTAGTAATCCACTTTATAGAATTCAAGGTCAGAAGACTTTGTGGGTAGAAAACATTTGAGAACTTTCATGGTTCCTAACATAGCAAAAATGTATCCTTTACACACTGGCAGTAATCAACAGCACTCTGACAAGAAGGAATACATTTCTTACGTGTATGAGAATATATCACAGAATTCTGATATAACAAACAATTTGCATGTTATAGTCTGTCATACTTCTGAGAAAATGCAAATACATCCTTGCTACATAAATTATTAGCATTCGATAATTTGGGGTGGGGTTTGGATTTCCAAAATTAAGTAAATTTGTATTATTTTATTAAGTTCAGATATCTAAGTTACAGATCTGTAGCCAGCTTTTTTAAGTCTGCATTTACACAGACCTTAACCTAGGGATTAAAAATCTAGCTCTAATATCACATATATGCAGAAACGGATTTCTGAGGACACGGATCCTGTGTAACAATCAGCTCTTTTCAGGAAGATTTGTAGGTTCAGATCGGCACGTTGTGCCAAATAGCTATGGAAAGATACAGTTCAACAGCATTTGTCACATGAACAGACATGAGACATTTCACTCATATTGAGTAGAAATCCCTGTGTGATTATTGGAGAAAAATGTTTATTTATAGGTTTTGTTTAAATGGGATACACTGAATTATCCAGGGAAAACAAAAGGAAAAGAGGTGCCATTAAAATAATTTTCCTAGCTCATTCCTTAGATATTATGCATGGTCAAATAAAATAATAGTAATGCATACCAATGTAAATATAAGCCAAAATGCATATATTGGGTATTTTGATGGGAATAGAGGTTATTTATAGATAAAGGACGATTTAAAACCAAAGAGTAAATTAAAAATCACAGTTGTGCCACAAGGAATAAATATTTTTTTTTTGCAAAGCCTGTCTCTCAAGAGTTTCCAATTCTTATATCTATGAGATGACAGACAGTTGGTTAAGCAGCTGTTGTTATTTATTTTCATCTTGTAAAATATGCAACACAAAAAAGAAAAAAAGAAAAAAAAAAAAAGGAAGGACCCTGAGACCCACCTTTTCTGCACTCATCAGCAAGGAGGTTTTGGACTCCGTTGCTATGAGCACATTCCTCCAAGTTTTCCATGGCATTTCTATCAAATGCAATACCCATGGTAAGCCTGTGCACCTTTGACTTTCCGAGCTTTCAGGATTCATATTCCAGAAACACATGTGGCTCCAAGAATCTCTTCAGCCTTGACAGCGATAACAAGAAGGGATCAACAGCACCCCAAGTAATCCTGATAGCTCTGTCAAAGGTTTCTATGGCACATCATAACTCAGGAAATCGCTTAGTCCTTCTGCCCCAGGCTCCTCGCTTCCTCTGGCAGGATCTCATCCCTGTTCCCTGTTTGCATGGCTTGCCTGTGAGAGGACTGCATGATTTTCTCCTTATCTGTCTTGTTTCCAGGCTCTCCTGCTCTGCATCAGCCTCTCCCACAAGGAAGCGCCTGGGAGATACTTAAAAAGAGGATGGAGCAACCAAAATGCCACTGCCTGACTTCAGGTCAGGAGAGCACCTCACCAGTGGCACTGCAGGGATGGAGGGAGAAATCACAGCTCTGTCCCAACCCCCACAGCTGCTGGAATAAAAAAGAACAGACAGCGAAGGCGGGATTTTGTGATCATCCTGTGACAAAGGTACACTCTTTTTGGGAAGGAGCAATCATACAGACATCATCCAAATGATGCATTCCAAACTGTGCAAGCAAGCAGGCTTTTATCCTGTACTTTACAGCAAAGGGACTGCAAGTGAGGGAAAAGAGGCTTGTTCGGCCTTGCAGCAAGCCTAGGGCATAAGACAAATGCTAAGGGCCAAGTCAAGAGCAGGGCATAGGTATTAATAAGACACATTTAAGTTTTAATTGTCACAAAAATTAAAAGCATGTCAAACATCAACTAGAAGGAAAAGAAGAAAACCCCTTTCCCCATTTTTCAGCATTTTTTAACGCCCTCTTTTCAAGAAGTATTTTCCTTCTCTTCCCAATGGAAGAGGGCTAGAGTTAAAAGAACAAAGTAAAAATAAAACAAAAATAAAATACACACAGAAATAGAAGCTGCAAAAAATTCAAGGTGGCTACATCCCCCACAAAATGGTAGGAAATTAAATATCCACCAAGCCTAGTGTGAAGTAAAATTTCTTCACACACTGATGTGCCACTAAAACTTATTCCATTCATTTTGAAGGGTCTTCCCCATGTTTCACAATCAGCTTGCGTGTAAGTCTATTTAAAAATTCTTGAGGCTTCTAAGGAAAAAACTAAAATTCAGGACAGATACCACCCATAACTGATTACAAAGTTCCTGCATTGCAGAAAGCCATCCCAGTTGCCCTACTTGTGCTGGGTTTAAGCCTGCTGTATTTTCATTTAAATGCACAGCAAAGGCACAACCCTTTTCTCTTGATGGGAAGACATAGTACTGGTACCAATAGCAGCTGAAAAATTTTCTCTTGATGGGAAGACATAGTACTGGTAGCTGAAAATAGCAGCTGAAAATTGCATTGTTCGTTAACGACCACTGAGCTCAGAGTGACACATTAGCAGTACCTGGGCACAGAGGCTGCCTGAGGCTCCCACAGCCCAAGGATGTGTGCGGGATTTGCTTACATAACAAATACAGTTTGCGTTGAAGATAACATGGTTTATTTCTTCACGATATTCAGATTAAAATGCATCAATGTATTTAGCACAATACTACATTTTAGGACAAAATCATCAGTGCTTTGCAAGTCTTCATAATGTTTATTCATTATAAATAGTAAATATTTACTGAACTTTTTACATGAAAGACATTTGTTTTTTGTTTTTTGTTTTTTTGTTTGGGGGGGGGTCAACACGTGTTGTTGTAGAGGCTGCAACACAAAGATAATATTTCATTTTTCCATCACCCTTAAGACCACTGTGTGAACTAACCTCTGTACTGAACCTAGTCTAACTCACTACTCCATAGTCCTTAATGCCAAAAGGAATGTATTCGTGTTTTGCCTCCCTCTTTGTTCCAAGAATAGAGAGAAATAAATAATACCGCCTGCCATCTTCCTCTTCCTCTCAACATCACAAAACACAAATTTATTGACATTCTAAAATGTCACAATGCAAACTTCTTGTAAACCTTTGTTCCTATACTTATATTTTCTATGTTGGATATCGCTGTATAATTTAAACAAATGTGTCAAATACAGGTCCATCTCTGTCTATGTCCTGTACATCACTAAATAAATGTAAACGTAATCATTTCTTTGTATCATTTCCTGAAAATGACCTTTAAATCATGATTAGCAAGCTGGATTTTAGTCATCCAGCACACTGCAACATTTCTGTATTTTATCGTCAGGAATTATGCACTGTAAAAATAAAAGTACCTGCAAAAATATAGTTCTGATTCTATCTGACTTTGGATGATCCCAAAGTTTGTGTGAGGTACACAGTATTGCACATTGCTAGGCAGTTGTGAAAAATCAGTCGCGTTGTTGTTGGTTTTTTTTCTCCCACGTTTGTTCAAAAAGGTACAACAGACTAGGAAAACTCCACATACAAAAAGGTAAAATCTGTTTTACATGTTACACAAGATCTTGTGTCTTGGCAAAGCAAAACTTGTAAGTGACATTTATTGACAACATGATTACAAAGCATGGTAAGGTAACCAGTGAGTTGCTCAGGAAGTCTTTCGCACTTATCCTAGCTTCCTATGGACTGTGACATTTCCTCTTGATGACAATTTCCAGTGTGTAAAATGAAAGAGGTTCTCCCACCCTTGCTTCAGAAACTGAGCAGTTTCAAAGTTAGACTAAAGTCAGCACTGGATGTCAGATGAGTCAGAGTACGCAGAGATCAACTGCTCAAAGTTTCAAAATGTTCCATTCGTCCCAATCAATGCACATTAATTTCAACAACAAAAAATGGAATGTTTTGCCAGGCAGTGATATTAAATACTGCTCTGTTTTATATACCCACTCATAATGAACCACGTCGCATTTATTTATTCATTATTGCTTTTGGCCTTTGTCTTCTGTATAGCTTTGTCCAGCCTTTAAAAGTCTACTAAAAGCTATGACTGGAGAGAACATAACAAGCCTGCTTTTCTCATTGGGACTGCCTCAGTTTAGACTGCAGTGTGTTGAGAAGATCCCTCGTATCCAAGCCTTGGAGTGAGACCGGAAAACAAGATCAGCTTTAACTTGAAGTGGACAGTTCATTTATGCAATATCTGGCTTCAGATAATGAAAGGCACCTGCAAAAAAGCAAAAGAGGCTTTTTAAGTCATGCTGTGACAACCTCACAGCAAGGGGCCATGCCAACTACAGGTTGACATTGTCATATTTAATACTGATATATCAAAGGAATGGGACTAATATTTTTATTCCTAGGACAAGTTTGACAAAACTTTATGTATCTGGGATTATATACTGTAATGATTCCTGAGCTGACCTCATTAAGAACATGTGTTTCTAATAGTGGAATGCCAGTGGTTATTTCATTTTGGACAACCCTTATGTTTTACCTAATGGCAATCAGGTTTCATGTCTCAACAATTAATAACATCAAGATGTTGTTGACATCACTTAAGAAAATAATTATGCAGCAGAAATCTTGCTCGAACAATCAGCTATCTCAGCAGTGCACTCTGCTCGGCTTTGGGGAGAAGTAGTAGTCAGCCATTAGGATCTCTGCTCATTATTTTCTTTGTTACAGAGAGAAAATACAGACCACTGATAAATGGGAGCAGTAGTGCACTTCACAGTGCAGATGTCCCGATACTCACTTTGTCCGTACTGGCCGTACTGGTAGCCTGTGACGGGGTCCATGCTGTAACCCGTGGTGCTGTAGGTCGGTGGGCAGTAGGACTGGGATGTAGGCAGGCTGTCTAAACTCTTCATGTGATCTAGCCGCTGGCTGCAGCTGGCTGACACAGTGGTGGTGGGCTCCAGGCCCCCAGTTAAAGGGGACAGGGCATAATCAGTTTGGGGCTGATGAGGCACACCGCCATGGTTAGTCAGGAGTCCCATTACCTAAAATAAAAGGTCAAATAATAGAGTTAAAATATGTGAAGAACTGTAGTGCCTACAGAGCCATGGGAGTTCTCATATATCATGATTCCCTAAAATAGGTAGACTTGGTATTCAAACTATGCTTTGAGTATCTAATCTAAAGAGGAAGCGGAATTTGGTTGCATCATCCACCAAAATAAAAACTGATGGCTAATAACCAATAAAAAGTGACAACAAGAGCAAATAAGGAAAAATCATTTTACAAACTTAGGATTTTAGAGTGCCTGATCCTCTCACGCCCCAGCTGGGATCTATGCAGATGTTTACTCCTTGATGACTCAGTTATAGGAGAACGAGAAGCAAGTAGTGGATCTTTAGCCGTGCTGTCCTGCATGATCTACAAACACAGAAAAGCTGTGAAAAAGCTCACACAATTATTTACACACACACACACCCCCCCCCCCCAAGATCAGTAGTCATTAAAATGAAATCAATTTGTAGCGGATCACAGCAACATCGCCAGTAGAAGTAATGAAGAATCCCAGCACTCAGAACAACATTAATATGTAGGGAGGGGGCAGAGCAGCAGTAACTCCTGCTGCTGCATGCCCTGGGTGCTGGCCTGTGAAGAAATGGATGCAAAAGAGAGAAGTGCTGGTCATAACAACAGTTCTCAACTTCATCCGCGGAGTTAAAGGCCACAACAGAAATGGTCAGGTGTTCAAGTCAACCGTAACTCCCTTAATAAACTGTTTCTGTGTGAACAGTAATGAAATCAGCCGACAAGATTAGTTGAAAAGAGATTACTGGAAAATATGTGCTTGTCCCTATAAAAACTCAGCCCTCTAGGCCATAATTTCCAGTAGAAAAGCAAAAAAATAATTTCAAAAGCACCTGTGCTTTCAAGCAGGAGTGCAGGAAGCTACAGTGATAAGTTACTGTTGTACAAACATTGCTCACTCTATAGGGCGGTGTGCATTTCCTTTCCCAGCACATCTCTGTATCACGTTTTGAAAATAAGTACTGCTGAGAGAATTACTTGCTTCTGCTGGAATAAGTTCTACTTCAAAGCCTGAGAGAGAGTCTGCAGCTTGTAACAGATGGATGGCATACAGCTTCTGCCAAAACAGCATATTCTGATAATTTACAGGTTGTTCTTCCTCCAAAAAGGCATTATAAATATTTGACATACACTATTTAATATTAGTTTTGCTCTACTGTACTTCTTACCATAAACTAAAAATAAATTATTATAATTGGGGTCTATGTTGTAAAGAATAAGCCTCTGCTTATATGAACATAGCTCCTAAAGCTCTGATGCTTCTTCTTGACTTGCCCTTATTTTCCATAGCAAAATAAAAGGAAATATTATTGTAGGGAGCTTGTGGTTCCAGCTCTGAGTTTTGCTTGGTTTTTAATAAATAAATGAAACAAGTCCCAGGGGTCATGATTTAAGTAGGAAGGAAAACCTATGCAGGTCTTACATGTCTGATAAGGAAAAGAGCAAAAGGCACAAGCAAAGTACTTCAGAAAGAGACACCCCAATGCCTGCATCAAGAACACAAAACATCTCTGCATCAGATGCAACCAAGACATCTCACCAGGAAAAAAAAAAATGCTGAGGATGAAGTTCAATTGCTACTTACAGCACTAGAATGTTCACTTGTTTCACTAAGCAGAAAAACAAGAGTTTAACTGATAGTATTTTCTGAATGTTTCACAAACTGAAGTATTCATGCAAAAGGAAGTTTCAAAATATACCAAAAGACTTCATTTAGATAGTGAAATCTTGCAACTTTTAAGTTAAAAACACAAAAGAAGAATTTGGATTCAGGCTCTAAGATATTTTCTGTTTAATTCAAATAATCTTTTCAATGCTCAAAACCTATTAAAATAATTTGAGGTTAAGAAAAAAACAATTTTAAAAAATCTCTGGAATCACCACAGATTGAAAAATCATGTTACCTGCACAGCAACCTGCACAGCACTTTGTCCCAAAACTCCCTCAAAGCTGAAATAACTGGACTCAACTTTGTCTTTTAAATATTGGTTCCTGAAAAGTATTAAAATTTCTAAAGATTATTTTAGTAAGTTCTTCTATCTTAGGAATTACAAATACTTTTCTTGTCCCTTTAGAAAATCATGTGGTCCTGAAAATCTAGCATGCTTAATGATCTGACGTTGCACCTGCAAGATACAATATTAGACCTTATGTTCATTTAGCTTATATTAATCCTTGTCCTTTAAAATTAACACTAATAGAGTTAAAAGAAGAGAAAGATCCACAAAAAACATAGCTTAACTCTAAACATTTACATTGAAAATTACTACTTTGAAAAATATTTATGTTGGGACAAGTATCATGGTTTTGACTACAGTTTAACACACACCATTTAAACACACACCATTTCTGATAAACCATATCAGAAATCTGCAATAACTGCACTGCCTTTTCCATTCCCACACAGCACCCACGCAATACGCTGCTCATGGGCCTTTGCCACGTTCTGTTCCAGGTTCCAGAGCTGGAACCTGGCTCTGGAACCAGAGAGAAGAACCAGGGAGAGAAGAACCAGGGAGAAGCACGCTGGGCTCGCTTCGCCCTCGCAGCACCGCTGGCACTCTTCCGCGTCAGCACTCTCACACCACACGCTGCCTCCACCTGGACTTTTAGGACCAATTGCTGAGTTGGGCAAATAGCTATTTTACCAACTACATACTTCAACTAAACTTCATTCTGTTTAATATTTTCAACAGAATAGAGCCCAAGACAACATTATTTGGATTTTACCAGCAAAAACAGTGAGATCAAAAACCTTGGGATTGGAAGTTATTTTAGAGATTAGCCTTGAAATTTAAACCTGGATCCAGACATGCTCTCAAAAGCCACTCAAATTTTGGTAGCATCTATATTTGGATAGAGATTTATCTTCTCTGCCAAACTAAAATTAGCATTTGTTGATATTTACTTTAAAAATTTTAAATTAATCAGATACTACAAGTCTTTAGGCATCTTTTTATTAAGTGCATATGTACCTCATAGACACTTTGGAGCAGAACTGACACAGCTCTCTGTCTCTGAGGTGGAGAAAACTGAACAGTATCCACTTTCTCAGAAATATCTTCTTCAGAGGCCTTCAGAATCATCCTGCAGTTGATTAGTATCTAAATAATTAGATTTTGGGTCATGTCTGTTTTGAAAGCTATAAGGGAAGTAGCCTCAGGGCAGAAGTCTTTCATACGGTATGTGCCATGACCTTATCACCCATACAAGGAGCTACAGGAAGGGCATGGCTAACTTTCACCTAATCAATTAGAAAGCCATTAACGGGCCATGTCTGCAAGATGCTCAGAACCCTCAGCTTAGTGGTGTACAGGAGACACACAAAGATCTGGATTTTCCAACTCAGATCTTCTGCTGGTATGAAACAGAAGTTCTAAATAGGTAAACAGATCTGATTGTTTTACAATAATTAAGGAAGAAAATAAATTTATTCAATCTATATATCATCCAAATTACTAGAAAATATGTACTTCCCCCTCTGAACTACTTTGGGAAAGCCAAAGTAGTAATTGTCAGCCTCACTGATCTGGATCCCAAAGAAATCAAAAGAAAAACAAAGGGCTGATCTAACACCTAGAACTACATGCTGCTATATCTATTCAAATTATTTTAGACAATAACTTCTATAGATGAAAAAAAAAAATCAGACGAAGTTTTTTGGTTACACATATTTTGTTCTCATCTTTTAAAAACACACACAGAAATGTTAATGCATAGCTGTTGGCTTTATATAATAAAGACAGTCTATATAATTGATAAAATAGTTCCATTTATTAGAAAACAAAGGTTCAATTAGGAATAAACAAAGAGAACACGGTGAACTGCAACAACCAAACTCTACAGAAAAGTTTTCAGAGAGCACATCCCAAGCAATCCAAAACATTAATTAGGACAAATCCCTCGCTGGTGGGATCAGCACAGCTTCACTAGCTAAGGATATGGTCCAGAAAGAAGAGAAATTGAATGATGAAAGCCTTAAAGGCCGTGTATGCAACATCTGGTCCATTATCAGCTATTAGAAAATGCTTCTATTATCAACAAAATAAAGGCCATTAAACTGAGAAAAAGCTTATTCTATTTAAATGGAGCATTATGCCTGTTAACGTGGTTGGTATTTTAGGATGTAGGACCTACCATAGGCACAATAAAATTCTCATATGTTTTAATTCATTTACGCATGCCTGCATTTAATATGCTCTGTGACCATGTCTGCAATTAATATGATTCATGACAAAAGAACATGTGCAATATTTTTGGGTACAGTGATACATTTTTTTCTCCTCCTGTGAATGAAAGATTTAATGAAACAGCTCAAGGAAAATTGTTGGCAGTTAACGTATTAAGTTGAACTGACAGAATCATGAGTAAACTTTAGTGGAGTTAATGATATCCTCTTATCTGACCCTGACACATTTGCAGCATGTAATTTACAGAAGCTCTGTCCAGGGAATCTTGACAAATGCTCCTAACGATGTCAGGGCAATGTTCCATTCTAATGTAAAACAGATGTGGGTCAGATACCCTCATTCATCACTAACACTGGAAATTTCAAACTCCTTCCGAGATGAATGGTATTACCTGCTGTTAAGGTCTTTTCACTGTAGAGAAATCTCTCAAAAACAAAATATTACACAAGAAAGAACACAAAAAGGATGGTCCTAATGCATTAGAATGAGAGATTTTAGAAAATTAATTAAAATTAATTAGCTATACGGATCTATACCTATAGGATCCTAGAACCACGTTTCTGATTAATATATATGTATATATATGGATATTTATGCCAAATATATGAAGAAATCCAACAGAAAGCATTTTCATGCCAAATGGCAAGAACTGGGAATGACATACTTGGTTAATGAAAAGAGGAGCAAATACACTGACTTTGAACCTCTGATGATCTGACCTTCTGCATACTCATATCAAATGAGACCTCATACTGATTTCACACCACTAG